TAGTGCCCGATTCCGAAAATTGGAACCACGAAAAACAATAAAGAAAAAACAAAGATTATAATCTGTATAATCTGTTGTATTGTATAACACTTACAGCGCTTTCAGATGGAGCGAACCGTCCGCGACTTCGAGCAAGTACCATGAGTTTATATGAACAATTTCACATGGGCGCGTATGCTCCGTCCGACGAAGTTCATCCGACGGCTATCTTGAAAAACACGACGGACGGACAAAAAACGCTGTTATGGTACCTACTGTATTATCGAAAACAAAAGAAAAACGGCATTAAGTTGGCTTGGAAATGACAATAGAAGATATGTTTTACATAAAATTATATTTTTAATAATTTTTATAGTAACTTTTACCCTCAAAATTTCACTCCAATCGCTAAAAGTCCTTGAAGGAAATTATAATAAATCGAAAAAAAAATATTTTAACCCCCTGTAGCTATTAAACTATAGTAAACGCCACGAATGTTTGGGAGTGATTCATCGCTTGATGAAATTAGAATCGACACGCGCGCTATCATTTTTACATTAAAAACGTAAATTTTTACCGCAGACGTAGGTTTTTAAAGGCCCGGCCTAATTATCTTCCTGCGCTCCTCCTACTTATTCTAAAATGTTAGCGTGATTGACAAAGACGATACTATATCGCGTTTCTTTGATTGATTCGTTTTTGTGCGTCAGTCCCTTGGTGTGCTTGCAGTGCGATCAATGGGGCATTTCAGTTTATATTTATAACCAAATATATGTTTTGACAAGACTTTGACAGTTAAAACAACAAATTACAACAGATTATATACTGATTATTATATGACTTGAAACACGACACTGGAATTAAGTTTTATGTAACCTTGAGCAGATTAAGTCACATGGTAGCGACCGATCAATCACTCCCAAACATTCGTGGCGTTTACTATATCTGTTTTCTTTTAAATTTATTTAACTGATAAAACTGCGATACATGTAACCATGTCAAATGGAAATAACAAACAAAGCAAAATGGGACCCTATGTTGATAAGAAATGAACCTTATTTTTATGTGAGGAATCTCCCCACGAGAGATGGCATATGTTTTTTAAAACACACTGTATAAGATGATCAGAAAAAACTCTATATTATAAAGTTTTCAATTTCAGACTTTCACTACAATATTTTTTATACAGACTGTCCAACGACAGAGTCTCTGCCAATGACAGTTGTGTCTGTCATTTTAATAATCAAATCTATTTTTCGAAGGCTCCTTGATTAAAAATTAGTGTTTTTAACACAGCCATGGCACTCTAGATTGAAATTTAAAATACAATTTTTTTAAGCGAGAATATCAAAAGTTGACATATTTATGATATATCAACTATTCAGAGTGTCATTTTCTATTGAATAAAGTAAAAAAAATACCGAGAGTGCCATTTAAAAATCAAAAGTTGTAGTCATTTCCGTTGAAACAGGAAGTAACCACACACAATTGAATACGTCAATCAATCCTAATTTATGTCATATACTAATATACCAAATTTCGTTTTTTTTTATCTGAAAAAATAAAAAAGTTATAGGGGTGAACCACTTTTGAGACGCATCCGGTATAAATTTAAAAATTGGTAAGAAACATTGGTAATTATTGGGAAAACTGGAAACATTGCCTGGAAACTTATATGGTGAAATTTTGATAAAATAATTTAGTACGCACTAAAAACACGGTATGTCGCTAGTGGTAGGAAAAATAATTTTTAGAGGTTACTAGTTTATTTGGTTGCCTGTGATATGCATATACAGGGTGTTTCCTAATTAAACTAAAAAATAAAAAATCGTTAGAAAACGAATTAAGGCGGGCTCTTAGTAAGTATATTTATTTTTTTCTCGACAACCGTTTAATGAACAAGAAAAACGCAAAAGATCAATTTTGTTGAAAAAGGATGGCCAGTCAAGAAAAAAATATATTTTCTTTAAAAAAGCAGTGGTGTACCATTTATGTTCAGCAAAAAATCGATTTTTTTTAATTTTTAATACCCTGTAGATCAGAAAGGAAGTACTTTAGACCCAGTGGTTATATAAAAATTGTTTTAAGAACACATGAGGAATCACACCATAATTTTTTTAGACTAATTCGAAAACACCCTGTATATTGTCAACTTGACAATGATTGCTGATAAATCAAAAAATACCTTTTCAGTGAAAAAAGCCTGATTTTCGCAGGAAAAATTTTGATTTTTATTGAATTTGGGCCTGCGTTTGCAAATACTCGTTTGTTTTTTAATTTTCTATCTATATAAATTTTAAATATCATAGTCAGAAATCGTTTTATTATTTATTAACTGTAAAAATGGTGTTTTCTTGTTGTGTTGCATCTTGCAAAGAAACTAACAAAACTGCAAAAATGTACGTGTTTCCAAAAGACGATAAGGTATATGTCTAAAAGAAAAATATATGGTATGTATTCGTTGTTTCATTTTTTTTTCATTCGCTTTAAAATCTATAAATCTCGGTCTATTCATTAGACAGCCAGTCGACTTACGATCATTTACATGATATAAATAAATATATATATTAGGTTTTATTAAAGTTACTCTGATATACTAATATATCAGTGTAACTTTAAAAATAAATCCTTTGAATTCAAATATAAACATAAAAAACATTTACAGCAGAAAAGGCGAAGGCGCTGGGTTAAACGTAGTCTCCACTAAAAACACAGAGGGGCGCTTTGACCCAAAATTTTACTATTGAGTTTCATATCTATCTTAATAGTAGATTATTTTCTTTCATCTATGAACTGGAAATCGTCCGATTTTCACCAAAATTGGTATACACCCTATTTTGAGGTCGTAGATTACGAATCTGAACTTTTTTTTCAGGAGGTCTCTTACCGTTTTTCAAAAAAACGAAAAATTATTTCAACCTCGAATTTTTCTTAATTTCTCATATTTTTAAGGTTTTCTAGCACATATTTTGTTAGGTATTCAATAAACAATTATGTTTTTGCTATTTTCTGTTACTTTTTTAACCAATTCTATGCATAATAGAGGAAAATTTGCTAAAATAAATTTGTAAACAATCTGAAAATGTTGGATTATGTGTTTCTGGCATTTAAAGCAACGTTGCCAATGCTAAACCTAAATTTAGCGTTTTTTTCGCTTATTCCTTATTCTGGGATTAGTAAAGGCGAAAGGCGGTCGCCTGAAGAACGGCTCCTTCCCATAACTGCTATTTTACCAACGAGACCTAACCACGAAGTTGCACGAAAGAGTTTTGATTGCATTGGTTGCAACTTCCATGTGGAGGGTGTTAATCTTTTGTTGTTGTATTATACCAAAAAAGATTAACCCCCTCTGAAAAGAAGTTGAAACCAATGCAATCAAAACTCTTTCGTGCAACTTCGTGGTTATAAATAGTCTTTATATAACTTCTTTGTGGAGAGGGTTAATCTTTTTTTGGTATAATATAACAACAAAAAATTAACCCCTTCCGCATAAAAGTTGAAACCAATGCAATCAAAACTCTTCCGCGTAACTTTGTGGATATAGGTAGGTGGTAGGTATATTTAACTTTGTGGATATAGGTAGGTGGTAGGTATATTTAACTATTGTCGTAATTTATTTAAAATGCCTAATCATCGGAAAAAATAGAAGATATGGCAACGTCGTAAATTTTCAAATTTCTAGATTAGGTCTAGAATATATATATTTGTCTCTCTCATTACATAGGAGAAAGAAGGATATATGAAATGTCAAACTTCCATTTGGTCTAAATTTTCTTTTATTTTGTTAAGAAAAGTCATAGATAAATGCAACAAGTTTAGATTGGAAAGCCCGTAAAAATTTTGGGTCGCGACCGTTATACGCGATCTGGCAAATCGCAAACGGCAAACAAAAACAGAAATAATTTTCTCTTGTCAAAGTCAGAATCTTCAAAAATCATAATAATCTTTCAAAATCTAAACCGCTCTCATTAAAGAAATTCCCAAAAGTGTTTATAGTGTCCATTTTCAAAGTAATTATTGCTATCTTGTGAGTTCAATTCAACTTTTATTTACTTCAACCGGTGATAATTGTGAAAAAGTGGCATTAAAAACTTAAAAAGCTGTGCTGTGAACTGCAAAAACCATCGTGGATCGTGGCATAACGTCGGTTTCCAATGTGTATGCAACACACTGTATTTTATTTATAAAATTAAACGAAAATAATAATAAATTTGAATAAACAATATTTGGCGATATAATTCCGGAAAAAGCCGAACCGCTCCGAAATTTTCAAAAGTTTTGGGTCGCGACCGTTGCAAGAATAGCGCCAAATAGTGTTTACATTGTCCTTATGGGCACTTTCCAATCTAAACTTGTTTCATTTATCTATGACAAAAGTGTTTTTCAGTAAAATTTTGGACATTTTTCTATCCTCAATCAAGTGTGGCTTTTAGATAAACTATAATATAATGAAAATATAGTGAAATTATTACTTTATAAGGACCGAAATAAAGAAAAATTCAATGTTGAAATTATTTTCTGTTCTTCTGAAAAACAGTAAGAGACCGCCAAGAAAAAAGTTCAAATTCGTAATCTACGACCTCAAAATAGGGTGTATACCAATTTTGGTGAAAATCTGACGATTTCCAGTTTTCCCAATAATTACCTTGATTTTAAGTAAATAATACTTTTAATACATAATTTTTACGTATTATTCTTATCTCTTTATCATACTAATGCATGAATATACTTGCTACATGTGGACATAGTTTTTTGGGCCGTTTCTTTTCTCTCCTCTAAAATTAGGAATATGATATTAGATTAAGAATATAATATGAAAGTGCTAACTCCATAGCAGTTTATCACATTTCACCGACAATATAAAATTTCATCAAAATCGGTCAAGCTGTTTCAGAGCAGTAGGGTAACAAAAACTGTAACATTAGAATTTTATACATTAGATTATAGTGAAAGTCTTAAACAGACAACTCGATATGGAGCTTTTTCTGATTAATAATACAAATATCAATAAAAAGTCTTACGGTATCTACAATAATGACATCGGGTGCTCTCTGAACAGTATTATCTTCATCTACAAAAACCCAACCATTTGATTTCGCTTTACCATATCCATGTTTTGCACTAGGCAATTTCATTACCTCATTTAGAGAAAGTCCAAAATTCGGTAAAGAGCGGTAAAATCTTGCTTCATGACTACCTACAGGTATATAAGATATATAGTAGAAATACATACCTATTATAAAAAGGCCCAAAGAGCAATAAAACGTACATGAAAAATAGTTGCAAGTTTTTAACATAATTTTTTTATTCTACACAAACCATAGCATATTATCTGCACTCTAATAATGATGTGGTATAGATCTTGGTTACGTGAATGTTAAAAAAAAAACTTTAGCTGGCTAAATAAAAATCCTGTGCTTACTTATGATTCGAATATATCATGATTTGTGTAGAACGTAACACGTTATTAATTTTGCATTTTTATTAACTCTATGTAATAGCATAGATTCTTCTATAAAAAAATGAATGAATATCTAGCTAATATAATAATATACTATACAGTACAATACATACTAATATAATAATATACTATACAATTTTTACCATTTAAAATAATTTCCTTCCCTTCTTCAGTAAGCACGAATTTACTTTCAGATCTGCCATAATCAACAATAATACCATCACCATGTGCCTTTATACTATTTACAGCTCCAACAATTTTTTGATGATCTTCACCAAACTCTTTGGCCAGTTCCTGCGTGTTCAGTCTGGGATGTGTAAATCCCAGATCAGCTCGTTCAGCGAGATACTCTAATATTTTCTTATCCATTCTGTATAAGTTTTATCCTCAAATCTAAGGTTATATCAGTATATTGTTAATTAAAATCATCAAATGTTGGCCATTTAATACAGCCGGTTTGGAAATTATAAAAAAAGAAATTTAACCAAATTTAACCATAGAGCATATCATATGGCTATGGAGTGTAACAAGCTGATCAGCTGATCCAATTTAAATTATAAATTAAAGTTGCATGAATTATTGGTTGCCATCCTATCCTATGTCTCATTGTCTCATTCCGCATTCATTATTAAATAATTTTAAATTTATTTAATAATTTTCATTGTTAGTACGTCTTTAAAAAGTAGGTAAAACAGTAGTACAGTGCAACCATGTAGAGAGCCCGACTCTTTAACATTATAGCAGATTATAGGATGTTCAAGATTTGTCTTCCGTAGGACACTCAACTCAAATGATGGTTACATTCAAATATAATGAATGTTTTACTATTAAATATTCGTTTTCTAGTCAAATAAGAATAGTTTTGCTAAGCCAGGATACTGAAAGAACTTTATAATAATTATAATCAAGCAATACAGGCACAGATGCCGTACCAAGCATAAGTACCAAGTGGCGGAGGTACACAAATTTCAGATTCCAAATTATGCCTGACAAATTCCAAAGGGATCCAAGCATGATCCAAGTGGCGGAGGCAGAGGCGGAGGTACACAAATTTCAGATTCCATATAATGCCTGACAAATTCCAAAGGGATCTGTTACAATGTTGAGTTTATTTGGAACAAGGATAATCTAAAATTTAGAATAACAGTTGTGTATAAAATTAGTGGTCTATTAAGACTTATATCACAGATAACAATCATCTGTGATATAAGTATAATAATATTATATGTATTATCTTTGCTTATATGATAAGTTACTATTTTGTCAGTCTGTAGAAAGGTCTGTAGTCTGTAACGTATGTACCAGAGTATGTACTATTTATAAACCAAAAGCAAGACCAAAAGATAACCAAAAGTTAATGTTATTAAAAATATATTTATGTGGAAATCTTGAAATTTACTTGAAATAATGTGTTATGTGACCAATAAAACACCTATATCAGATTATTTAGTGAGGTTATATTTCCTAGAGTTGTTGATGGTTATAAAATTTATAAAGGTTTTTAGGGCAAAAATATTTAATTTTTATACTTTAAAATGAACAAAAACGAGGAAACAACATTAGTACCTCATCCTGATGTATTGCCACCTTCTGAACCAAAGGAATTAAGTCAGTATCACATATGTTCAATTAAAAATAATCTATTTTAAACCACATTGTATTTTACTTTGTAGAAGTAGACGAAAAAGATTTAGACGACGATGATGAATGGGAAGACGAGGGTATTGTGTATTTTAAAATGACTTTTATTGTTAACACATCACTGAAAATGGGAACAGGCAAGATAGCGGCACAGGTTGGTCATGCATGTCTAGGTTTGTATCGAAAAATGTCAGAAAACAAGTTAGAAGAATTACTAAATCAATGGGAACAATCAGGGTAATATATAACATTTTCATGCATTATTACAACAATTTGTTTTATTTTCTTTTTCTTAACAGTGAAAAGAAAATAGTATTGAAAGGTTCTGATGCCAATCATTTGATGGAACTATATCAGAAAGCAAGAGATGCAAATATACCAGCTTATTTGGTCAGAGATGCTGGGCATACTCAAATTCCTAGTGGATCGGTTACAGTTTTAAGTTTATTTGGATTAGAAGATGATGTGGATACAATAAGTGGCAAACTTACACTATTATAACATGTTATTACATTTATTATGCATTTTCTTAAGGTGCTGTGAGGTTACTTTAACCAATTATTATTGATTTTGTATTTATTGATAAATAAAAATGTACTTTTTATATTAATTTTGTTATATTTTGTACCACTTTGTATACACCCGCATATTTTGCAAAGGGATAGGAACATTAGGAATGAAAATCTTAGATTGGAGAAATACCGAACACTATATATTATATTGAGATTTTTCAAAACACTAAGTTACCCTGTATATTATTTTAAATAAAATGGAAATAAATTTTGATGTGATTTTTAACGTTATCTGTTCTTACGTATAGTGAAATTTTCGTGACGATAGCTCTCTATAATAGAATTTCTGACATGCGCGATTCGAATCTGTCACTTGCCACTTGCCAGTCAATTGGGGCGTATAGAGTTTTGGGCCGTGTTTTTAGGGCGTTTTTCGACACCCTTCCGATACAGTACCGATTTGGCCCTGTTTTTTATTTGTTTTCCCACGTTTTAGTCATAATTTAGTGCCGCGACATCATCAATTTCCTTTTTCCTCTACGAAATCAAGTAGAAAAACGCTCGCGACTTCCCTAAAACGCCGAATTTTATGCATTTAAAACTACCGGCGCGATTCTAAATTTAACCGGTTAAATTTTAAACAGGCAGATTATGTTTTCTTCGTGTTTTAGTAGCGGAAAAGCCTCGTAAAATGTTTATTTCGCTCGTATCGGTGCGTTTGTTTACTGTTGGACTGATTTGCGCAAAAGAATCGGCGTATTGTTGACAGTTTTTCCAATAGGAGGAAACGGTTTAGTTTTTCTTAATTTTCAACACCATGGCAGAAGAAGAAGTGTTGTTTGACGATGTGTATGATTTGTGCGAAGAAATAGGAAGGTAAATACTTTAAGTCTGTGTAAATTCAGATGAAATAAGATCATTAATATTTGACTTAAAAAGTCGCCCTTTTTGGCCTTTTTGGTGCATAGATTTGTGCCACAGACACAGAATAGCAACGGTCATCTGTCAATTCGATTTGTTTATTTTTTAAATTGAAGACTGGAGATTTAAAAAAATAATTCTATTTTTATATTTTATTCCCTTTAAAATATTTCAAAGGTAGCCATTCAAGATTTTCTAATGTAAATAATGTTTCTTTGATTTTTGATTGATTCTGTTTTAATGTTTCTTAATTTATCATACACATTTATTTAAAAATCGGCATATTTAAAGATACAAAAATTATCTATGCTGAAACTTGAATTTGATACATTTTATGTTAACGATTGTTGTTTTATTTAGGGGTCCCTTTAGTATAGTTCGTCGATGTATACATAGACAGACTGGTCAGCAGTTTGCTGCAAAAATTGTAGACGTAGCCAAATTTACATCTAGTCCTGGTCTAAGTACGAATGGTAATTCGTAAAAACCATATTGCATATTTTTTTTAATTAAAATCAATTATTATTTTAGATTTAAAAAGGGAAGCTACAATATGTCACATGTTAAAACATCCACACATCGTAGAGCTTTTAGAGACTTATTCGTCAGAAGGAATGCTGTATATGGTGTTTGAATAGTAAGACTATTTATTGGTATACTAGAAGTTGACCCAAAAAAGCATTTGATCAGATTTTCTGTTTGAAGTTTACCTCCATTTTTTATAAAATAAACTGAGAATTGTAGCACATTTTTTTACACATATTTTTAAACACAGAGTTACGTATTAATTAATGAAGAAAATATGTATTATGAAAAAAGTTTCTTTTTTAGATAATTTTACCACCCTGTATCTCAAGAGTTAAGATGTTTAAGATATACATTCATATGTTTATAAGTTTTTTTCTTGGAATAGGTTCAAGAATTGCCTCTTAAATATTAGGAAGTCATTCAGGAACACCCTGTATACCGGGTGCGTCTTAAAAGTGGCTCACCTCTATAACTTTTTTATTTTTTCAGATAAAAAACGGATTTGGTATGTTAGTATATGACATAAATTAGGATTCATTGATGTATTCAACTGTTTTTGGTCACTTCCGGTTTCACCGGAAGTGACTACAACTTTTGATTTTTAAATGACACCCTCGGTTTTTTCACGGTTTTTTTACTTTAGGTGTACTCTGAATAGAATGACATATCGTCATGTGTCAACTTTTGACATTTTCATTTTCTTATATGGTTTATTTGGAATTGTAACATGCGGTTCATGACAATTTGACTCGAAATACCAAGTGTGTGGTATCAAATTATTCGCAAAAAAATGCTTTTTCCAAATATGCTAATGAGTCATTCCATTTGAAAAAATTGAGATATGATTAAAAATACGATTTGTGCATCTTATAACCGACCAGGACAAGACACTAAAAACATTAGACGATCAAATCTATTTTTCCAAGACTTCTTGATCAAAAATTAATGTTTTTAACACAGCCATGGCAGTCTAAATTGAAATTTAAAATACATTTTATTTCAAGCGAGAACGTCAAAAGCATATATTATTCTATTCAGAGAGTCATTTTCTATCGAATAAAGTAAACAAATACCAAGGGTGCCATTTAAAAATCAAAAGTTGTAGTCATTTCCGGTGAAACAGGAAGTGACCGAAAATAATCGAATACGTCAATCAATCCTAATTTATGTCATAATATACTAAAATACCAAATCTCGTTTTTTTATCTCAAAAAATTAAAAAGTTATAGGGGTGTGCCGCTTTTGAGACGCACCCGGTATATGGAACTCTCAGTGGGCGAGTCCCACTCACACTTTTTTATATTTATTAAATTGTAAATTATTTTTAAAATGTGTTCTACCATAGTTTGCATATTTTATAAGAAAAATTGTAGTGAAAATCTGAAATAGAAAACCTGATATGGAACTTTTTTGGAACACCGGATCACCTCAAATATTTTGATCAATTTATATGTGATGTATATTTTTAGTATGGATGGATCTGACTTATGTTTTGAAGTAGTAAAAAGGGCAACTCAGGGTTTTGCATATAGTGAAGCTGTAGCAAGGTAAATTAATATACTCTATGATCGAAAAAAAAAACTGCGTCATAGTAGTATTTAAAACGATAATGACAAATTTCTGTGCAGCTGACCCAATGACTAAAGAATACAAGGACGCATAACGCGCATATACGGGCTGGGGCAAAATCTGTGATATTAAATTACTGGTATTATCAAATTACTTAGATAAGGAAAGAGAGGGGCCAGCTAACACGCATATTCTTCAGTGAAAAATTTTTGAGGCCAAAATTTGATTGGCAGTCATACTTTGGTGACAAGATTTCGAGGTGACACCAAGCGAATTTTTATGCTTTTTGTGAATATTGTTTTGTTTTAAATTTATAAACTGTGTTGTTTAGTATGGTGAAATGTTCATTGAATCCGGCCATTCATTGAATCCGGCTGCAAAGGCCGAAGCGAGAAAAAAGTGGCTGGAATTACATTTCACAGGTAAAAATCGACACACAACTTTTGTTATGTGGTCATAAAATGTACATTTTTTTCATTATAGCAGTAAAAATATCTAAAATGCTTTTAATATGTCTTGTACCACATCCTAACAAAACTATTTTTGATAAGACCAAGTAGTATTTTCAATATCCTGTATTATAATTAATGTTTGAAACTATAAATAATGCTACTCAGCATGGATTTCTCCAGTGGCGTAGGGAATTATAATTAGAGAAATACAGTTTCTGCAATAAACATTTTTTTACATATTTTACATGTAAAAAAATGTATAAAGTATTGTTATCAAATAGTAAAGTAATTGTAAACTATAAAAAAATGAAAAATTCAAATTTGTGGTGGGCTACTTGTTACTATATTTTTTTAAATATTCTTTAAACAAATTTGCTAATTTAGGTATATAATAATAGTTTCAGTGAGTCAACTGCACTGGTATATTTATAACTGCCCTCTCTAGGTCACTGCCGCCGGCTTTTTATACCGACAGGTAAAAGAAATCTAGAATAGTCCAAAGATCGTTAGGCGCATAGAGAAGGTTTTCGAATGTTCTCGTATGTACGAGTCCATTCTAGTGGGTCTCGATTCTTCTCGAACGAATGAATCATTGCGGTGTCTATGCGATGTCAAGGTCATCCGAGGGCGGGCCATATTGTGAGGTTAGGTCGAGTCCACACCGGCTCGCAACACTGCCCCCTTCTTAGGCACATGCTCGTCCCGAGATGTATACGGTGAATGAAGGTATTTGCAAAGCTGGCCCCTGGTACATTGCGAAGTCTGGTAGAAATAGCAGTCTACAGTTTTCTCTCCCGATCTCAGCTTTGGGTTGTAGCAGCAAACGAGGATCTCGATTCCCGTAAATCTGAACAAGACTTCAATCATGTTCCGGATTGTACGCCAACTCAAACCATCGAGTCCACACGCCAGCTTCGGAATGGCTAATCGTGCAATGTTGTTGTTTAGCAGGGCTTCTCTCAGTTCAATCAGGGTCTTCCATAGATTGAGATAAGTCGGCTTACTCGGGGACCATTCCTTGGTGACCAGGTAGAAGATGTGCCTTGCTTGACCATGTGCATTGTCGGTTAGCCTCAAGACGCTTCCAACCTCTGGATCCTGTCGGCGTAGTTCTCCGACACGCCCAAACTTCTCATTGAACGTCGCAGCGATTCCTCTGGACATCCGCAAATCTCGAGCCACACAATGAGCGAGCGAATAATCAGGAGGCACGGAAAAGAGGTCTCGTTGATCTTCTTTGGTTACACCATAGCGAGCCTTCTCACTGCTGTTGTATCGGGCCATGAAATCGTCAAAGGACATCTCCGAATCAGGGGGATCAAAGCTGCAGGTTCTCACGGTCCCAGCACGATCTTCTATTTCGCCTTGGTAGGGGCTCAAACGGTTGAAATGGACTACCCTCGGTTTTCCTTTTGGCAATTTTCTGATACGGTATACGACGTCATTAATTCTATCCATGACTTCGTATGGCCCTTCCCACGAGGATTGTAGCTTCGGAGATAACCCACGACGTCTCTGCGGGTTATATAGCCACACCAACTTCCCTGGTTGGTATCCTCCATGCTCAGCTTGAATGTCGTAGTGTTCCTTCATTCGGTCACTAGCACTTTGAATATTTAGGCGGACTCTCTGATGAATGTCGTCCATCCTTTGACGTAGTGTGTGGACATAATCTTCTCCGGCGACTTCTTCTCCCGGTCGGCAACCAAATTTCAGATCACAGGGTAGGCGCACTTCCCGTCCCATAACGATGCTGGCTGGAGTTTGCCCTGTAGATTCTTGGACGGATGAACGGTAGGCCAACAGGAACAGGTGAAGAAATTTGTCCCAGTCTCTTTGGTGGTCAGAGACTACTTTGGCCAGATAACGGTTGATAGTTCTGTTCATGCGTTCAACCATCCCATCGGATTGTGGATGTAGAGCAGTCGTCCTGGTCTTGCGGATGTTCAGGACTTCACAGACGCCTTGGAACAGATTGGACTCAAAGTTTCTTCCCTGATCTGAATGAAGCTCCATGGGAACACCAAACCTGCAGATCCATTCTTTAACAAGGGCATCAGCAATCGTGGACGCTTCTTGATTTGGCAACGCGTAGGCCTCGACCCATTTGCTGAAGTAATCCATTACTACCACAATGTATTTGTTGCCATCGTTCGTCTCCGGGAAAGGACCAGCCACGTCGATCGCTATTCGTTCGAAGGGACTACCAACATTGTACTGGCGCATAGGGGCTTTACCACGCTTTTGTGGCCCATTAATGGCTGCGCAAATGTCACATTTCTTACACCAGGCCCTCACATCTTCTTTGCAGTTCACCCAGTAGAACCGTTCACGCAGCTTGCCAAGTGTCTTGGTAACACCAAGATGTCTCCGCTGGTTCCATTGTGAACTTCCTCCAAGACTTCTGGGACCCTCTTCTTTGGAATGACGATCTGCCTCTCTCTTCTTGTCCCTCCGGTCTCTCGATCACACGGCGAAGTAGTCCGTTATCTATTACCAAGGAATTCCACTGGGCCCAGTACGACTTTTTACGTTCGGCGAATATCTGCAAACTTCTTCCCACGTTGGTCTTTGGCCTGTGTTTTTCCAGTTAATTACTAAACCTAATTCTGGGTCACTGGTTTGGTCATTTGCAAGATCTTCGGGTTGCCAACTATCATTAACCACAGTTGTTCTTAGGAGTTTCACTTCTTCTCTTCTGCTCGGGAACAATGCTTACAGTCCTTAGCGCAAGGTCTTCTGGAAAGTGCGTCGGCATTTCGATGGATTGCCCCAGCTCGATGTTCTGTGTCGAAGTCAAATTCTTGTAATCGTTCAATCCATCTAGCTACCTGCCCTTCAGGATTCTTAAACTGCAACAGCCATTTCAAAGCAGCATGGTCTGTTCTTAACAAGAACTTTCTTCCATAGAGATACTTGTAGAAGTGTTCCACTGCTTTAACTACTGCTAGTAATTCTCGTCTGGTTACACAGTAGTTCCTTTCCGGTTTTGACAAGGTCTTACTAAAATAACCAATGACTTTTTCTTGACCATCCTGGATCTGAGACAGAACAGCGCCTAATGCAACATTGCTAGCGTCGGTATCCAATATAAAGTTTCCGCTGCCAAGAGGGTAGCTAAGTATGGGCGCACTAGTCAGGGCCTTCTTCAATTTTCGGAATGCCTCGTCAGAATCTGAGTCCCAAGAGAAACGCCTCTCGCCTTCGGTAAGTCTGGTCAATGGTTTTGCAATGGTAGCGAAACCCTGTACATAGCGTCGATAGTATGTGCATAGTCCCAAAAAGCTTCGTAGTTCATGTTTATCTTTAGGTATCGGCCACTCTTCCACAGTCTTGGTCTTCTGTGGATCTACCGCAACTCCTTGGGAGGAGACTACATGGCCCAAGTAGTATACCTTTTCTTGACACAGATGACATTTCTTGGGGCTAAGTTTCAAACCAGAACTCTCTAGTCGCTTGAAAACTTCTTCCAAATTCTTCAGATGACGGTCAAAGGATTTCCCAACCACTATGATGTCATCCAGGTACACTAAACAGGTAGTCCAGGATAGTCCCTTTAACACAGACTCCATTAGTCTCTCAAAGGTAGCTGGCGCGTTGCACAATCCAAAAGGCATGACGGTAAATTGCCAGTCCGGAGCCCACCGAGAACGCTGTCTTCTCTCTGTCTTTCGGCGCCATGTCGACTTGCCAATATCCACTCTTCAGATCTAACGTAGAGAATATCGTTGACCCCGCCAGTGTGTCTAGAGTATCGTCTATCCTCGGCAGGGGATAGCTATCCTTCTTGGTAACATTATTGAGCTGCCGATAATCAACACAGAACCTGGTGGTACCGTCTTTCTTCTTTACTAGTACTACCGGCGATGTCCACGGGCTGTTAGATGGTTCGATGACACCCTCTTCTTTCATTTCTCGAAGGATTTTGTCAGCTTCTTCACGTTTGGCGAGCGGAAGTCTTCTCGGATTTTGTTTGATTGGTCGTGCATCTCCGGTGTCAATTTTATGTTGTACTAAATTGGTAATGACCTCTATCTCCTGCTTCTCCTTTATCAAACACGTCTTGATACTTGATTATTAGGTTTCTCAATTTTCTACTATTTTCGGGAGATAATCCTTTAACGTTTACTAACTCCTTCACCATTTTGTCCGGAATTTTTGAAGTCGAAACTTTGGAGGCTTCCACGCTTCGAATGACTGAGGAGACCGAACAACAGTACCCTAACAGAGTTCCCTTCTTCAAGGATACAGAATAATAATTCGTGTTCATTACTCTCACCGGTACAGTTTTCTTCGCTCGTAGCAGGGCTTTTCCAACAGCGATCCCTCGTCCTATTTCGCTGTCATGGTTCCTTGGCTCCAACAGAATAATACTCCCATTATTCATTTTACCTTCTAGGCAACCATCCAAAAATATCTCACAGCGCTCAGGGATCGAAACATCTTCTGCTACCACCACGCGAAGCGTCTCCTCACATTTTCGATGTAGAACCACTTCTTCTTCATTTATTTTTAAAATTCCCTGT